GTCATTATCGCTACATTATTAGCACCATTTTAAGCTTATATAATTATCATATTGCAGGGATAATATTAACGTTTCACATTAAAAAGAATCATAGTTTGCAATTAAATAAAGAATTAAAAATAAAGAGAAATTTTCTTTTCTTTTTTTTGGTATAATGAAATAAGCTAGCAATGATGGACGTAATTAAGCTGAAGCATGTGAAAAATGATTTAACAGAATTTATGAGAGAAATAAAAATTTGTTACAAATGAAAACATTCATCATTTTTGATGAAATGATCTTATAGCTAATTAAAAATAATTAATTTCAAAATCAATGAATTACATTGATCAAAACTGTTTTAAACTTCCGGTGCTCTGCTTTCTCATAAATTCTTTCAATAAAAAAACAAAAAGAAGCATATATCTTTAAAATATATTTGAAAAATTGTTTTATTTTTTCTTTTATTGCTTTCCATCATTTCCCACTCTTTGCTGATGAAAAAATCATCATAAACAACAGATGTGGAAGAAAACAAAAAAGCAGTCATTTCAGGGTGGTGCAAATAAAAATTAAAACAAATTATATAACTTTTCAAGCAGCATATGTTTGAAAAATAAAAATTTATTTGAAATACTTTTTGTTGCTTCATAAAAAAAAATAGCAAAATGATTGATTGGATGAATGTTATTGGAATGTAAGTGAAACGTTTGATAGTATACGTGTTTTACGTGAAAATAAAGCAATATTAGGAAATGTGCATAAATTATGAAATGATCAACAAATCTTGAATAAGTAAATAACTTCACATATTTAAAATGAAATTCAAATAAATGTACTTGTTAATTTTATAAAAATTATTTAATCAATCTTATGTTTAACTTTTTTTTTTCTGTTTCAGCGGGTATTTCGGATATTTAAATTTTCTCGCCACTCTCAGGGTTTACGTATACTTGGTTACACATTAAAATCATGCGCCAGTGAACTTGGTTTTCTTGTATTTTCACTAGCCATGGCAATAATTATTTTTGCAACAATAATGTATTATGCGGAAAAAAAAGTTAATGATACCCGATTCACCTCAATACCTGCTGCATTTTGGTATACAATTGTTACTGTAAGTTGATTTTTTTATATAAAATTTGTTATCAATTAATTAAAATCTTATTAATTTCTAGCAAAAAATTTAAAAAAAATGAAACGATTAAAATCATTGCATGTTTTCAATTTTCGCATTATTGTCTTCTTGTTTTGTTTTGTTTTTTTTCTCTCTCTCCTTTGAAATTAATCTGAATATTTTTCAATGATCTAAGCACAATAGCAATGGCGACAATAGTAGTGATAATAATGATAATAATAATAATTATTATTATTATTATTGTTATTATTATTATTATTATTATTATTATTATTATTATTATTATTATTATTATTATTACTATTATTACTATTATTATTACTATTATTATTATTATT